AAGGAAAAGGAAGGAAGGAGGAGAGGACGAAGGAAGGAAGGAAGGAAGGAAGGAAGGAAGGAAGGAAGGAAGGAAGGAAGGAAGGAAGGAAGGAAGGAAGGAAGGAAGGAAGGAAGGAAGGAAAAAACAATACCCTCCCCCCCCACCGTAAGAACCCACCACCTCTTTGGCGCTTCCATCGAGGCGGTCATCCTTCATTTCTTCTTTTCTTGCTTTCTGGAAGCAGTTAGAGAATGTATGATGAAGCAGAAATGAGCCGTCAGGATGATATTTTAATGGCTTATATGTCACGTTGGTGCATGTGGCTTTGAACTGGAGCAGCTTTCGTTTCCTGCAGAGAGCGCGCCGCAAATCCCACTTGATAACTTCTACAACCCACAACATTTTTTTTTTTTTACATTCACTCTTACACTGTATATTTAGATACGCTTCCTAAAAGTACCCTCTCGCCTGCCTTCTCCTATATTTTGTACGGACCTGGAATGATCACTGGGTCCCTCGCTGCACTTGGAGGCAGCCTAGCACTGGACTACCTAACTTTCAGGATCTCCTAATGCCATCACCCTGAAGATTTCACATTTATGCTGCCTACTTTGTCCTTTGCCCAGCTTAATTTTAGAAACATATACAGAGAATAATGTAACGTCCGCCTAAAGACCACAGCCCCACTGAGGCGCGTACGTAGAGCAGGTATACCTGTTGCTATAAGCTACTGCAATTCCTCCGAGTGGATTTTGCAGAATAAATGCGAACGTGTAGATTCAGCCCATCATTATCCTGAAAAGCGGTAAAGCCTCCCATGATCCAAGGGAAATTACAGAATGCATCTGCTTTGAAAGCGAGCTGCATGCACTGAGCACAGGCAAACTGCATCTGCAGATAAAGTGCAGCGAAACATTCCTTCAAAGCATATCCAAGTTTATTTGTTGTTGTTTGTTTGTTTGTTTTCTAGGCAATGGCCATTTTAATGGCTCCTGAAATTATGCAATTCTCAAGCGAGAAGTGCTCGCGCAGTGTCGCTGCTTATCTGATCGCCCAGTACCTGGAAGCTGCAGATTGCTTCCCAGCGCCTTTCAGCTCACAGGATGAGTTTAAAGTTTCTTTGTTTGCCGTCCCGAATTTGAGGGGCTCAGATTTAGTTGCGAATAAACCAAGTGAAGGGCTGAACAAAGTCGAAATTGAAGGATTTCGACTCTTAGCGAGCTTTTTTGTGTTTTTGTTACTATAAAATAATTAGACCTAATGAATATGCAGGCTACCGAGTAAATAAATAATTCGCCGGTTTTATACAGGCGTGCAGATACATAAGTGTATGTATACATACGTATGCAAACACGTATATATTTTAAAGTTTTGTGAGACCTTTTTTGTCGGTGCCTAAACATCGTTTAAAACATGGTACAAATGTTGCTTAGCTTAATTGATTAAGCCACAAAGGTTTTCTGCTTATAAATACCATACTTCTACCTTTCAACAATCATTTTAATATATAGTCAATGGCTCTTTGTGGCGAGAACAAAAAAGAACTATCCGCAGCTTTTCAATAGACTTTGAGCTGGGAAAAGACAGGTTAATCGAGGGTTGCATCTAGAAAACAACCAAGTGTTGTATGTTTGCACTGAATCCAAATGTCTGCATTTTTCTAACTAAATCAAAGGGAGTGTTATTTCTTTTTCTGCTCACTCATCTGAAGGTAAGTAAATTTTCTCTGGCGATCAAAAGCCTGGTCAGCAACAAAGACACCGCCTGCTTTTTCCACCGTCCTGGTGTGGCAAGTTGAGGAATTTCAGTATCTGTGACAAGGGTGACTGATTTGTGAACTAGAAAAGGTTTGAATGTCAGAAAATTTACTTTGCTCCTATCAAGGATTTTAAATATATATATATATATTTTTTTTCAAAAATAAATAATAATAATAAAAAACTATCTGGGACTTTCATGCAACAGGAAGAGACACAATGTAGGTTTGGAAAATTTAGTTTTACCTGAATGAAAAAGTTCCCGTAAAAAGAGAGAGCGAGAGAAAGGCAGAACGAGGGAGAAAGGAGAAAGAAAATAACAAAAAAAAGAGGCGAATCAACAACAACAAAGTAGAAAGTTAAGAGTTCTCACCCACCTGCGTTTTGATGGGTGCAGAAAACAAGATTTATTTCAGAAAACTGATGGAAGGACAGAGTCAGCTACCCAGAGAAATCACGCCTGGCGTTTAAAAATCAAATCAAGTGCACCCAGCTCTTGGAGAGCTGCAGTTTTAAGCAAGAGGAAAACAACAACATCAAAAGGAGCGAGCCACGACAGGGCTCCCCTTTTCAAAGCCTACAAAGTTGCTCAGCGATCTTAGAAATCCTGCCCAGCCGCGACATCCCCTTCACCACCACTACCAGGGACAGAGGGACGGGGATGGAGAGGAACCGGGACAACGATGGAAGATTTTTTTTTTTTTTTGCCTTGCACATATACACACAAAAAGATGCGTTGCAAATATTTTCGTAAAAAAAAAAAAAAAAAAAAAAAAAAAAAAGTTGCTTTTTTTTTTTTTTAAAGTTGCTACTCCTGGAAGCCCTGCTCGTCCCGGGGCTGTCAGGGCGCTCACAATACCTGCGATTGATGAGGCGCGGGGGCCAATGGGCGGCGGGAGGCGGCCGTGCGCGCCCCTCGTTGGCGGGGCCGGGGGGAGTTACGCGGGGAAGGGGGAGCCGGCGGCGGCCAATGAGCGGCCACGTCGCCCCGCACGTCGCCCCGCCCCCGGCTCCCATTCATCAAGGGGGGGGGGGCCGGTGTCGTCTTTTCAATTCATTTATCTGCAGGAATGATTGCCGCTATCAGTCTCGCGTTCACCGCCCGGCTGAGGAGGTGAAAGTTTCTCCCCAGGAAGATAAACCGCAAAAGACAATATTGTGCATGATTTGCGCCTTTTTTTTTTTTTTTTTTTTTTTTTCAGAGTGAGAAAAAAAAAAGGCCCCCAAAAGAAAAAAATCGGGGAGAGTGTGGGGAAGCTCGAAGAGGAGAGAGAAACAATCTCTCAGCCACTTCGCAACATTCCTATAGCCAAAAAAATCACTGAAGGAAGTTTCTTTTTTTTTTTTTCTTTTCTTTTTTTTTTTTTTCTTTCCTGCCCACGTTGATCTCTCTCCGTTATTGTTATTTGCAGCCAGTTTATTTTTGAGCCCACCCAACCCCCCCTCCCCACTTAAACCTCCCTGAAAAGTCAAAGCAGAGAGACAGGGAATATTTTTGGGGGCACATTTTTATTATTTGCAACTACGAAGATCTCTTTCCTCCTTTCCCACCAGCCTCTGATTTTTTTTTTTCCCCCTTCTCCCCCCCCCCCCTTTTTTTCCCCCTGCGCTGATGCCGAAGGGGGTGTTTTTGATGTGGTTGCTTTGGTGGTGATCGTCGCTGACTTTCCAAAGAGGGTGTTTTCGCCGCTGCTGCTGCTGCTGCTTCTCTCCGCGTTGTGTGTGTGCGCGCGTGCTTTTTTTTTGGTTGCTGCATCGACGCTGGGAAGATGCTTCTGGATGCTGGACCGCAGTATCCCGCCATAGGAGTCACTACCTTCGGATCGTCTCGCCACCACTCCACGGCCGATGTCACGGACAGAGAAGTGGGGCTGGGGATCAACCCCTTCGCCGACGGCATGGGCGCCTTCAAAATCAACCCCAGCACCCACGAGCTGGCCTCGGCCGGCCAAACCGCCTTCACCTCGCAGGCTCCCGGCTACGCGGCGGCGGCCCTGGGGCACCACCACCACCCGACCCACGTCAGCTCCTACTCCAGCGCAGCGTTCAACTCCACCCGGGACTTTCTGTTCCGCAACCGCGGCTTCGGGGAGGCGGCGGCCGCCAGCGCCCAGCACAGCCTCTTCGCCTCCGCCGCCGGCAGCTTCGCCGGCCCCCACGGACACAGCGATGCCGCGGGACATATACTTTTCCCCGGGCTGCACGAGCAAGCCGCCAGCCACGCTTCACCCAACGTGGTGAACGGGCAGATGCGCCTGGGCTTCTCCGGAGACATGTACGGCAGACCCGACCAGTACGGCCAGGTCACCAGCCCCCGCTCCGAGCACTACGCCTCGACCCAGCTGCACGGCTACGGCCACATGAACATGAACATGGCAGCCCACCACGGAGCAGGGGCCTTCTTTCGTTATATGAGGCAGCCCATCAAACAGGAACTCATCTGTAAGTGGATTGAGCCCGAGCAATTGTCAAACCCTAAAAAGTCCTGCAACAAAACTTTCAGCACGATGCACGAGCTGGTGACTCATGTCACCGTGGAGCACGTTGGAGGACCCGAGCAGTCCAATCACATATGTTTCTGGGAAGAGTGTCCAAGAGAAGGGAAGCCTTTCAAGGCCAAATACAAACTTGTAAATCACATCAGAGTCCACACAGGTGAAAAACCTTTCCCCTGCCCTTTCCCAGGCTGTGGCAAAGTGTTTGCCAGATCAGAGAATCTCAAAATACACAAAAGAACTCATACAGGTACGGTAATCTTCTCTGTAGATTTTCTGCCTACGAGTGGAAGCGCCGAGTGCCGGGGCCGGAGCGGGACGCGGGGCCGGGCTGGAGGGGCCGGGGCGCTGCTTTGCTGCGGGTCGGGGCCAGGGGTGCTCCGGGGCCACTCCGAGTTTTTCCCGGAGAGGCAGACTCCGCCGCGAAGCGAACTCGGTCACAGCCACGCCGGCAACAGCAACAAAAAAGCGAATTATCCCTGACAAGGCGGAGAGTTAGAAAGGCGATTTACTTGCGGGATCGGGAGGGCAGGGGAAAAAGAAAAAAAATCGCAGCGACCTGTCCTGGTAAATTTATAGGTTTTAATTAATAGTTCTTCGGCGGTTTGGACCAGGGCGCGATGAGAAATCGTGCAAAAATATTCCAGGCAGCTTATCCGTCTCCCCTCTGCGATCCGGGGGGCTGATAAATATTTAATTCCGAGGACGATTGGAAATACACCGAGGCCGGCGCTGTAGCGTGGCATTGTTTTGCGGGAGGCGGGCGGCGGGATCCCGGCGAACTTTTCCCAGCCGCGGGAGGTGGCGACGCTGCCCTCGGCTCGCAGAGCCCCGCTCCCACCCCCGAGCGCCGAAAGCCAGCATCGCTTTCCCGAGTGGGTTCGTTGAGGGTTTGTGGGGCTGCCCTTGCATTGTATTCCCCGACCGGATAATTTTCTAAATTGAGAGAAAATAGGGGGGAGTGGGCTAGGGTGGGTGGGAGCGTAAAATATCACGAGAATGGGCTATAAAAACGGAAACTAGGCGCTGAGGATGGTGTGGAAATGCCAGCATGCCTGCTCTGCGAGCCTTGCAAGGAGGCAGACATGCCCGGGACTTGGGGCTGCGAATGAAACTCGCCCCTCCGGCCAGAGAGAGAGAGGAAAAGTTGTTTGCCCCCGCAGGTCCCGGCCCCTGCAGAAAGGGCGCTGAGAGGGGTCAGGAGCGCGGATGGGACAGGGAAGAGAGGAAGGATTTTGAGCTTCGAGCCATGTTGAACTTAGAAAGTTGCAAGTGTTTGAAATGGAGCCCTGGGCTCCCGTCCGGCGGGGCGATGGGGACAATGAGGGAGCCGGCCGGCCCTGCTTAATCAGATCCGTTTTCCCCCTCCTCCCCTCCCCTTCCCTCTGCAATAGGTGAAAAACCATTTAAGTGTGAATTTGAGGGCTGTGACAGGCGCTTTGCAAACAGCAGCGACCGCAAAAAGCACATGCATGTGCACACTTCCGACAAGCCCTATCTCTGCAAAATGTGTGACAAGTCCTACACGCACCCCAGCTCCCTCAGAAAGCACATGAAGGTAAATGGAGGGAGGGCGCTGCGTGGAAACGTGCGGGACTCTGGCCCCGCAGGGGCTCGGAACCCCTTCGGGCCCGGCGGGGGCGGAGGGCAGTGGGCACGGCCGCCGGGGGCACCGGGAGCTGCCGGGCCCTGGGGGCACAGCGCGATCCCGGAGCCCGGCCGACGGCGGGAGGGGGACCCGGCCTGGAGCCCCGCCCGATAGCTCAAGGCTAGGCCGGGCCTTGTAGCCCCCAGCTCTTGGGGCAGCGTCTTTCGTGGGGAGAGGAGGGAGATGCGCGAAACTCCCTCGAGAGCTGCCCGTGAGGCCGGGGGGAGCCCCCGAGGAGCCCCCGAAGGGGTGCCCGGGCCCCGGAGCCGTTGCTGGGCGCAGAGCCACTGCCGCCGGGGCCTCCGGCAGCCTCCGCTCCTGATTTCTGCCCGATTTTATCTATTTATTTATTTATTTATTTATTATTTTTAATGTTTTTTTCCTTTTGCAGGTCCATGAATCGTCCTCGCAGGGGTCCCAGCCTTCTCCCGCCGCCAGCTCAGGCTACGAGTCCTCCACCCCTCCAACCATCGTGTCGCCATCCACAGAAAACCAGACCACCAGTTCCTTATCCCCTTCCTCGTCCGCAGTCCACCACACGTCCAGCCACAGCACGCTTACATCAAATTTTAACGAATGGTACGTTTAAAACGCTAAAGCGAAACAATAAGAAATCTCTAACCGAAACAAAACAAAACAAAACAAAAAAAGCCCCAAGCGAGCAAACCAGTACTCTATTTAAGACTCCAAAAATAATGAACACTTTGAAATCAGATTTTTTTTTTTTTTAAAGGCAAACAAAAACAAAATGCTGCCAGTAGACCCAGGACTGAGTAAAATAAAGACTCATTTTGTTTGTTTGTTTGTTTTCCTTTCTTTGTTTTTTTTTTTTTTTTTTTAATTGTCTTTTGTCTTTATTTTTTCTTTCCTTTTTTTTTCTTTTTTTTTTTTTTCCCCACTTTCGGACTGTTCCGCTCTGCTCTGAGGCTTGGTAGGTGAAAGGGGTTAGTAGAATGCCTAAAGAAGACAAGGTTACCAGGGCAAATGCCAACCGTGTAAGGCTTTACTGGAAACCACTGATTAGAGCTCTCCAACTGCATGTCTGCTCGGGCAGCGGCCTTCCCCGTCCCCTTGTACATACAGAATTATTAGCTTCGGAAAAAAAAAAAAAAAAAAAAAAGGAAACAAAACCCATAAAAAAAGAAAACAGAAATGTACTGTTTGATTTTGTACATAGTTATATCGCCAGTTGACTACGGGGATGTGTGGAGTTGTGGTCTTTGCATATATGTGGGGGGAGGGGAGGGCGGGCGGGAGCGGCGGCGGGTGGGGCGGAGGTGGGGGGGGCCGAGGGAAAAGGTAGAAATTCAACTATTTGTACTGAATGGCAAGAATGTTCTAGTAAATGTGTACCAAAATGTGAATTACTTTGTATTATTACAGTCTAAACGTCGCTCTAACAGAATATTATTGATATTAATGTGCTTTTTTGTATAAAGTGCAACATTTCGTCCCAAAGTCCAGTCTAAGTAGTGCAGTAAAATGTTGTTACACGTCCTGTCAAGAAATTCGTATAGTGAAATCCTGGATCTGCGTGTCAAACTGTTACATTTGTTTATGTAAAGTGATATTAAAAAAAAAAAAAAAGATATAAACTATATCTGTCCGTTGCTTTTGGCAAATACAAGAACATAATGTATATAAATCCTAATTTCCATATTTATCCGCATGTAAAGGTCCGGTTATACATGTTACAAGATATTCAATATTTATGGCTAGAAGAATTGGTATGTAAAATTTAGTTTACAGAACTGTTTGGTAACATTTCGTACCTTATTAAAGATTCTTAAATCCCATGATTTGTGGTAGGAATTCTTATTCGTTCAGTCAACCTGCTGCAACTCCAACTAGCTTTAGGATATTAGAATAAAACTGTCCCACTTTTTCACTGCTTTCCATTATGTCATCACTAAAGCAGCGAAGGTGATATAAATGTGATAAATGAAAGGATCCCTGCTGGCATTACTATAGTGTGTAATTAGTATTTATATCAAAATTTATGAAACAAATTTTCGGCCGCAGTATAATTTAAATGACCTTTGCAGACATAGAATAACAACCATAAAAATAACAGAAATAGATTGCATATGCTACATAAATATTAATGTGGGGAATTGTTACACGAGAAGTGCTTCACTCCACTCCATGCACTGCCCATGAATCTGCATAGATCGGGTCTCTAAATTAAATTAATTCGGCTAACATATATTAGGAGATTTAAAACAGAGGAGATTTTGGTTGCTATTTTAATTTAAAGCATTTATGACCATAACTAATTCTCAGGCAGTGGATTCATGACTTTCCCTGGGCCCTTTACTCCAAAAAGTACAGCACTGTTTCACGAAGGCCGTTGTTGGTTTTGGGTATATATTTTTTTCCTTTTATTTTTATTATTTTTTTCTTTCTTTTTGCTGATATTCCTTAAAACGTGATGTTAATTTAAATCAATTACTTCTTATGTTATGTTATTATTATTACTATAATCTTGCCAGTGTTAATAGCTTTCTAAAAAATAAATCTAGGGGATAAGAATTATTTTATGTAATTTGATTATCGTTCTATCTCTTTTATTTATTTCTCATTTACTTAAGAAATTCGTTCCATTGGCTGGCGTTGATACAGTAAATTTGTAAATGAGAAGACAATATAAAAAATCTAAATTACTTGTGCTTAATGACTGTAGCAGAACGCCTTTTCTCTAAATCAGATTGTCTTTCTTGCAGTTTAGTTTGATAGATTTGCAAGCTGTACTGCTTCCACTAACTTAGCTACGGTTGTTGGAACTGTTGGGCTTTGTTCCTGGTTGTAGCTTGCATGATCGCCCCATTAAGCAGACAACATATCAACAGACAACACAAATCATGAGGTTGGCTAAAGCTGCGAGTGCTTGTGATATGTCATAGAGTGAATTGCACGGACTGACCTTCCAGTAGACCAAGATGACACTTTAACAGCTTCTTTAAAGAAATATTATGTGTACAGCGAGTCAATAGGCATATTAACCGCTAGTGGGGGGGAGGGGGCGGCGGAGGAAGCGGGGCTGTGTTCATATTCATGCAGCCGCTTCCTAGCTCTGTCTGTAAACCAGACAGAGTGTAGCCCGGCTGTCTTACGGCAAAATCATGCAAGTATTTTGCTTCGTCTGGAACATTTTCGGCCGTCCCTTGGCGATTTTTCGCCGCCCCAAAGCCCCCCCTCCGCCGCCCCCCCGCCCCCCCCAAAAAAAAAAAAAAAAAAAAAAAAAAGTTTGTGCTGCTGGGACGAGCCCTTCTGCTGTCCCCTCGGCATCGCCGTCTGCTCTTTGCAGCACCCGGGGGAAGGCTTCGGTTTAACTTTACTTTCTGCAAAATATTATTATAAGTCCAACATCAGTTTTCAATGAAAAGAGCGCCACCTTGCAGGGTTTGGCGAGACAGGAAAAGTTCGAGACCGGTGGGACCTAGGCAGAAAGTGCTGGTGCTTGAGGAAATGTAAGCCAGAGGGTTAAAAAAAGGCTGGAAAAATTGTCTAACGTGCCGAAAACGTTGCTCTTTGCAAAGCTCTCGGGTAAAAAGTCCCGCCTGCGAGACCAGGCAGGAGTTTTTGAAAAATAACCTGAGTTTTGCTAAAAAATAATAATAATTAAAAAAATCTTAGAGACAGTGAGAACCATCCCACTGTAAAATAAACCAGGAGAGACGTGGTGTGGGCGATGTATTTTAAAGATGCGTTTTGCAGGTTTCTTTGAACTTGTGTAGGGTCCCTAGTGGTCGCTTAGCACAGATTTGTACTTGTGTGTGTCTGAGCACTTGGGTAATGAGCATTCTTTTAAACTTCTGGTCTGAGGTTTGCTTGAGCGTCCTACAGCATGAAGGAGCCTTTTACTGTTTTTGCTGCTGCTGGTTTTTTTTTGTTTGTTTGTTTGTTTTTTAGGGGTGGGGGACGGTCGGAGGGGGCAATGCTGGTTGCTCGCCGTCCCATATATGTTCTGAATTAGCGAGGATCGCTGGGGCTGCAGTTGCTGATGCAGAATTCGAGTCCACGACAGGCTTGTGCTGCACGCTTGGCTCTGGAGAGGGGAGCAGTGCTTTGAAATCCCCGGCAGAGAGAGGGGTATTTTGTAGGCAGAGAGGTTGCGAGGCGCCTGGCGTCTGTTTCTGCGCTGCTTCGCTCGCCAGAGCCAACTTTCCTTCAGCAGTTCACTCACCCTGTGCGGATTTCCTCGCGAAGGTTTGCGGGGAGAAACATGACCCCCAGCTCTCCAGCCTCGAAGGGCTTCGTTATTTCATTTCTGCCTTTAAAGCCTGGCTCTTGAGATGATGTCGGGGTGCTCTCCTCCTCCGTGGCCCGGTGGCTTTAGAGGCAGGAGAGCTCTCCCCGCGGCAGGCCGTGCCGGCAGCCGGCCCCTCTCCGCGCAGCCTCTCTGCCGAGGCCCGACGTGCGGAGGCTCCTGCACCCGTGGAAGCTCCCGGCGCCGAGGGGAGCTCCCGGATCGAGGCAGAGCAGCGCAGCAGAAACTCCCGGAAGGGAGCAGGAGGCTTTGTTTGGGGTGCTTGGGGTGTGTTTGCCTTGTCCCCGCTCGGGTGAGGTGCCCGAGGAGCGCGCACGGCAGACCCTGGTCCTGCTTGCGCCGTTCGCCCGCCGAAAGTTAAATGCAAAACAAGGATCGGGCGCTTCCATTTCCCCCCCCTCCTCCCGAAAGAGTCGCCTTTCAGGTCGCTTTAATGGCTTGTGAATGATCACTTGAATTTTTCAAAAGGCGAGCCCGGCATTCATAACACAAAGTTAGCTTCTTTAAAGGAGACCCTGTGTGAAATGGGGACGCACGCTTCGCGCTGGCCTCGACTGCTTATCTCCCTTTATTTTATTTTTTTTTAGCTGTAAGGAAGTGGCAGCCCCTGGACTGCCGCACGAAACGCTGGGACTTTTATTTACTGCTTTCCTGGCCGTGCTGCTAAACGGCTTCGACTTTGTAAGTTTTCCCAGGGCTCTTGGTCCTTCGCGAGCAAGTTGGGAGAGGTGCAAACCGCGAGCACGGCCTCGGCCCAGGGCCTCCTGGAGCTCAGGGAGCCCGGAGCGCGCCCCGCTCGGCTGCAGCCCCGGCGCGGAGCCGGAGCCCCGGAGCGGAGCCCACTTCCAGCAGGCAGGAGGGGACTGAAAGACCCCCCTCCGGTTCATGCTGCTGGTATGAGGCAGAGTATTTCGAGTGACCTGCTGGCTGGAGGAGTCGGTGTGCGTTTTACCGCTAGAGCTCTGAAGGAAAAAAAGATTTTGCGAGCGCTCTTCCCACGGACGGGGGCACTCCGTTTTATTGGACGTGTTACATGGCACGGTTACAAAACGTCCATGTGCGTGTGCACACACGGGCACCCCGCTCACACCCGCACCGCGGCTCTGCACCCGCGCACACGTGCACGCTGCGCAGCTCCAAATCTGCCAGCGGTTCCCGCGGCGCGGCGCCCCGAGCGCGGCGTTTCCGTGGGAAACCCTTGCGATTTTGTCCAAACGGGGCCATTCTCCCCCGAGAGGGGGGTTGCTGCCGGCGAGAGGCCGGGCGGCACCGGGAGGCCCGGGCCGAGGAGCGGGAGAGAGCGGGCGGTCCGCAGAGAGGCCCGGCAGCATCCAGCTCCGCGGCACGGCACAGCCCCCAGCCAGGCACACGGTGCGGGCACGACCCACGGGTGATGCCCAGTGTGCTGTGGGCACGACCCACGGGCGATGCAAAGTCTGCTTTTGGCACAACCCACAGGACACGCGGGCAGTGCTGCAGATGCACACCCGCTCCCCGGGACCACCGTTCGCGGTCCTGCTTGGATTACAAATATACCTCAAGAAATAGGCACCGCTGGTCACCTCTCTGCATTTGTACCGAGGGAAACGGCGGTGTTTCTAGAAAGACACGGGTTCGTGTGTTTACGCGGAGGTGTAGTTTTGAAGGCTTCAAGGGAAGGTTCTATTATTTCAGGCGAACGTCTATGTGTAATGGATCGTGTTCCTAACAAAATGGGCATATTCTCCAAACCCATCCGGGGAGATTAATAATCGAGATTCTTATTTTGAGCTAGGCGCAGGATAGATTTCTTCCACTTGCTGGGCGTATTAAGGTGGGTTCAGCACAACCAGGCTGTGATTTAGGGTTCATTATATCTTAAATA